AGAGAGAGTGGAGGACTTAGAATATGCAATACTATTTGAACATGAGTTTTTATTGCAAAAGGACGTTACGTGTCATGGAAAGAATTGAATCTGAATTTACTACATCTCAATCCTCTGTTTTTAAATGAGATTTACATCAATCTGCTGTGATATATTTCTCCCTCAAAGACATTTCGTAATTTATTTCTCGCTTCGCGTGTATTGGAAAGTACGGCCAATTTTACGACGCAGTGGCTCACGAGCGTGTATAGTGAAATGCATATAAAACGAAAAATATACACATCGATGTATAATTATGCCAGTAAAAGTAACAGCTGTGAAATGCATGATGGATAAGTTGTCGCTTCCGCAAATCTATCAATCGGTTCGATAAATCGGAACGATCGACGCACAAGTGTAAAATAATCCGTTTCAAAATACACAAGGTTACATGGCGACGTTTGTTATCGCTACCTTGTAACATATATCTTTTTACGCTCATTAGTGTTCACGCATCCGGTGAGGTGACAACTTCGTTCACAACTTATGAGCGAAATAGATATATCGGGAACTATCGATAATGAGGAAATATGCCCTTAGGTGCAGAATGACGTAGCTCCGCGTCTTCAATATCAAAAGTTTTGCCCGTGAACGTGCAACAATGTCGTCAATTAATGAGTCAATCTATACGCCTCATGACGATATTGAATTCCAACTTGTGCGTTGATTTCTTTTTACGAATCCTTACATAATACAGGAAAAAGGCAACGCGATATGATCGCGAAGGAAACTCATGAGTCGCTTGGTGTCACTTAACAATAACAGAATGGATCAAATGGAATGATGTGACACTTGGCATATTGTTAATGGATTATTCATAAATCCGTGAACAATACAAGGAGAAAAAAAAGCGCAATGTAACGTTCATTACGGACACTACCGTTTCACTGTCGCAAGGTAGATCTTCATTAATAGCAAGTACACCGAGTGCTGTCTTTTAATGAGGACGTTTGCATTAGAAGTGGACAATAAAGATGATTACGGCGGTGCCATATGCGGCATTGACGGTTTGATAAACCGTTATTAACCATTTAATACTGCGCAAAGAGTTTTACGGCATTTGACATTTGTCCTGCGATCACGCGTTCCTGTGAGCACAGTCCGATAATCTCAATGAAGAAGAGATTTTTCTTTCTAAAGCAAATAACCTTGCTCCAAATACTGCGATAACGATCTGTCGTAATTATATTCACCTTTGCAGATGAAAGCTTACCTCGAAGATCATATTTATTACATTCTTGGAAGATTGGAACGACAAGTTTGCACGATGACAACATAATTACCCGAGAAGATCGCGGAAATGAGGAATAGTGCCGTCTTAAAAGATCGGCGACACAATTAATGGAGTGCCACGAGCTGAGCATGCATTTTCATAATGCCCGACATATGCACCAGTCTCAAATTTTAATGTTGTACCTTAATCATACAGACACCAAGGACATTCTGATCAAAATTTCTCTGCATGTACAATATTATTTTTCAACTACCAGTAAGATGACATACATTATTCTGTTTTTCTTTTCGAAAGTTACGCAAATACAGTTAATATTATCTTTAATCTTGATATCCTATCTCTGAAAAAGTGTTAGGAATTTTTTCAAACATCTTATTTTCAAAATTTCAGCATTAACGCTTTTTCAAAGTTCTAATTATTTCCGGAATTAATTAATTTTAATTAAGTCTAAAAGTGTAAAAAAAATAGAAACTCGAAGTAAAATACGAATTCTATCTTCTTGTAATTTGAAAAGATGTAAGATTTTTTTATTTCAATCAAGATTAATTTTTTAATTCTTTTCAATAAAATTTTTGGAGCATTATTTCGAATTCTTTAGAAAATATGTATCAAGATTTCTGAAAAAATTCCTGTGAAGACTTAAAAAATTTTCATTCCGACAAAAAAATTCTAATCTCTAAAGATATCGATTTTTTGTTTAGACTTTCATGAAAAATTATTCACGCACGGTAAATAATTGGAATTTACATTAGAAATTATCAAATTTAGTTTTTATAGTTTTATAATTTTATAGTTTTATAGTTTTATAGTTTTATAGTTCGAATAATTGAGAAAAATTTTGAATCTATCAGGAATTGTATACAGCAAATTGTATTAACAAATGGAAGCAAATAAATGTGAATGAATATGAGACATAACATAAATCTACAGCTAACATCATAGAGATGTCTATCTCGATGAATTTTATTATAAATATAAAAGATAATATTATTTTTTTATTGTACTATTAAAAAAAAAGATTATCACAATTAGAAGATTTTCTTTATAACATGGATAGGAGAGTTTTCATATTAAATGTACGCATTTTTTAAGATTCTTAAAAAAAAAAAGCATCTGCTCTTTTTCTTCATTTTTGATGTAACAAATATTTATATTGTTATAATAAAATAAATGCTTTATAATTTCTTAAAAAAAAAAAAAAAAAAAAAAAAATCCAATTTGATATCTTTTAAACGCAAACTCTGCATACGAGAGTTCAAAATCCGTTTCAGAATATCATGTTACATGGGTATGGCGCAGGTGTGGCGCTTCGAGGCTGACCGGTGTATTGAGTTCCACAAAAATTCCTAACGACTCCTCACCGTAAATGTCGTAATTCTCTCTATCTCTTTCTCATCTTATTCTGCTATTCGCATTCTCCCTACCTTTCGCTTTCGCATGATGGAAAATTTTTTGATATATTGTAAAGACGACTCGTAAAGAATTCATCATCGTCATGCCATTGGCTTCGATAATTTCATCATAAAATTATATTTTGTTCAATATTTTATGAATGCTTTTTACACGTTAGATATTTATATATAGATACTTATATAGATACTTATGCAATATTTTACATTAACGCCAAATCATCTAGCTTTACTACGATGGCATCTATTCCACATTTTACATTATTTAATAAAATGTATAAAATCTTATTTCTCAAATTCAATATATGAGCTTCTTCCAATTATAATAATAATGCATAACTGCTGTATAACAATATGCGTGTGTTACACAGTAGATATCAAAGGAGAAATGGTAACCCAATCTCCGAGTTAAATAACATTATGTTATTTTTAATTTTGCCATCTGTGTCAAAATGTAAATCAATCCGTCTGTAGTTAGTTTCAAAGTAAACATCCGTATTAATATATACATTTGATAAATAATAAATTAAATTGAAGTCAAATTAAATAAATTTTCTTTAGTTTAATCTCATTGTTTTAGTTAAATTAACAATATAAGAGTAAAATTAGTAGCGATCTAAAGAAATGATGAAAATAATTCATGTTGAATATAATTTAACATTACGAATTTAAAAATGTACAATCTACTCACATTCATTTATGTTATATTCGCTAGGTGTACAATTCTTGATAGATTCTAGAAAGATTTTTCTCGATTATAATGATGAATATTGTTACAGTTAATGATGTGACACGGGTGCAATAAATCAATCATATATTGTATCGTAATTTATATGCCTCTCATTATTGAATTCCTAATTTAGCACAGTCGTTTATATAGCGAGCAATGACTTAAGATAAATTGGAATAATCCGTATATAATTAAAGTCAATATCATTAAGTTGCGTAAAGCAACTCAATAGGCGTGCATCAATGATCGCCACAGATCATTAAGAAGATTTAATATCCTTTCCTGCAACCTTTGAACCAAGTTCTTAATGTACTATTTCTAAAGACAAGGCAAGAATTTTTCACAGGAATAATAATCAACGCTGTAAATAAATATACAAGTCTTACATTAGGATTTCTCTCTGCTGCGAATGACTTAGCGCCTTATTAGCTTCAGCAATTCAACTGAATCTTCTTTATTCGTTCGAGAACGTATATTACGCAGAATGGCAAGTACAAAACGGGATATTTTATTAGAGTCGCCATAGCAGTCGGGACGAGCGCGAGTGCGTCGAAAAAGAACGCGCAAACTCGTTCAAGTCTTACGGCGGACACAGTCCTTGGGCGGCGCCCAGTCGCGAAGGTAGGCCGATGCGAAATGCACTTGATTTATGTGCGAAAATAACCAATTAATTGGCGTAATCGGTGTACGCGATGCGTTGTGTCGCAAAGTCGCGGAAATGCTCAATTGCGCGTACGATTCTGAAGTACAAGAGGTGCGAAGATGCAAATACATTACGAAGGAAACAAGAGAAGGAACGATGATAATGACGACGACGATGATGAATTTCTTTTCATCTCTTTGCGCGAAGAAACGAAAATGATGCAAAAACAACGGCGACGGACTTGACGCGCAAAGCGACGGCGGTGCGCGGAATTCGAGAGTGCAACGAGCGTTATGCAACGATCAAACCGGAATGTCGAGGTGCTCCACGCCCCCAGGAGACGCCGAAATTCTCGTCAATCTTCCTCTCGCAGATAGGAAGAGTGGGAGTAGAAGATGCTTTCGCGAAACCCACCTGATGCTGCTCGATGCAACTGATAAAAATGATACGATCATCCGCACACGTCGAAATATCTATGTTAAAAATAAAAACCAATTACGACAAGAGGCGAGACAAGGCGAAACAAGTTGGATAAATATGTTCCGAATAAAAAAAAAACCAGATATTTGCATGGAAAATGTAGAAATTGAAAGTCAATAGGAAGTCAATCCCGATTTGGTACTTGAAATTACGCCACATGATATGGTACATTGATTCTTCTTTTGTGGCAGAGTATATAAACAGATTTAATCGTCAATATAATAAAACGATCTTCACGGCTCGTTAAATTTCATCATTGTCTAAAAGTCCGCTCATTTAAATATGCGTTTAATACATTTATCGGTGATACCTCACATAGCTATATGTAGAGTAATGTTTTCTGGTGACAGATAAACGACACGCGGTCGCAGGTGGAGGACATGCGGGCGAGAGAGTAGAATTGCAATCGGCATGGCATTATCGCTTATGCAATCGAAGCTTCACGTCGATTTACGTTGGTTTCAGATCGAGACGACGGCGGTAACTACTGCCAACCCGCTTTCCTGGCACATCCCAAGGCCGTCCTTGGTCGGACGGAGTGAGAGAGACAGCGAAAATGGAAGTTGGGCTCATCACTTGCATCCAAACTCCCCCTCGAGAGGGTCGACGTCGTCTCAAGGATCCACTGCCAGTACACACGTAAATTTCATCTCCTTAACGCGACCATTCACAGAAATATATATATATATATATATATAAATTGACTTTTTTAATTAAAAAAGTCCCTTTCAAGTTTCGAGACAAAATTCTGCGAATAATTTAAATTATATTAAAAAAAAATTGTATAATAACTCTTAATTATATAGAAAATTGGATATTGCTGAAATGAATTAGTTTTCATATAATGTAATTTATAATAAAGTGAAAAAAACAGATATCACAAAGTTCAATAAAAAAAACAGTACTGAACTGTGGTGTATCAAAAGTGTTAAACTTGTGCTCACAGAGCACTTTTACAGTTAAAAAACTATCGAGTTAAAAAACTATCTTGTATCTATGACATCTTTTCTTCACCATATTACAAGCTGCATTATATGTAAAAACTAATTTATGCAGAACCAAATTTTTCTCATAATGAATGTGAGGTCTTTTACTAGACAGTCCTAATATCAAAATGATAAGTCTGGTTTTCTATATTATGTAATATAAAATTGAGATATAAACAGTCTTCAACAGGAAAAAAAGAGTTTTCGTATCTTATTCATTCTAATCAAATTTTCGTGATACGATTTACAGAGCGCCGCGTCGGGAACGTTGCTACTCACGGCCGCGAATCTGGCGAACCTCGCCGCTATACATCCACCCACGGTAACGGCACAAAAGCAAATGGACACTGCCTCGGTGGCCAGTAGCACTCACTTCACAGTCGTGAACGGTCTCGGCAGACCGACCACCGTCTACAGGAAGTCTTGGTGCGCGCGAAATCAGCTCACTGTTCTCGTATGCACTATGAGTTTTCTGTTTATGGTCGGTCTGCTCGCCGGGATTCTTTACATGGAAAGTGAGTATCTGCCACAGCAGCAGCAGCAGTCGCTATTGCTACATCCACGGTGTTTCAACATCGTGCACGATCTCCGTGGATTCAATGGATTCACTATCCACGAACTTCCTCACTGACGTTTATTTCTGATTGCAGTGAGGGCTCGCGACAAGTACAACTAGGCCGAGAGTGAACGAGAGAAGGGAGAAAGAAACGGCAACAACACGTGACCATGAATGATGATCATAGTGAAACGAGCAACGAAGGAAATGATTACTTTAGAGAGAACGGGAAAAATCATCTTCATGAAGATTAGAGAGAGAAAAGGAAAAATGTACGATCCAGTCACGATATTAATTTGATTTACTCATTTATACGTATATACATTTACGTTGTAAGCTATTCAGGCCGTTCTCAGTTAGTAGACGTTCCCGATTAGAGTCTTAAGCGTATACTGTATAGAATCTTAAGTGTATTGCACCGCGACAAAAGTGTGGTACGTGAAAACCAGTAATTACATTTGTGTAATGAGCGACGTACTGTTAAGGGATTGACGAGATCCTCGTGATGGGATAGCCTTGCATATTTATGCTGGAATTTAACGGATTTTTCGGATCGTACTGCGAGACACGATTCGATGAATAACGTAAATATTTTTATGTTAATTAACTTCTTACCGCGTAGAGCGTGTCATATAGAGCACAAGCAACTTTCTCTAAAATTTCTTTACTATTTTATTGTGTAGTTATGACATCTCTCTCTCTCTCTCTCTCTCTCTCTCTCTCTCTCTCTCTCTCTGTCCCCTTCCCCCCCTCTCTCTTTCTCTGCACACCGCATAATTTTTTGCATAGAAAGATATATGTGGTAAGGGATTACGGACGACGGTGACACATCACGTGGTTTGCGATTGTTCCAAATAAAACATTTTTCGTATATGTTTTCAACGCTTCTCCTTCGTAGTTCTCAACTGATTTATCATTTAAATCGTATTGACATTATTGAGAGCCAATAAGGAAGAAGAGATAAAATATCACTGGAGTGTCACTAATTCTAGTCGTCCAACGAAATCTTGAATATGGGGCCTTATTCTCGTACGAAAATAATATAGTATATATTACATATATTATAAATTTTCGTATGCTATAGATTTCGTATGATATAGATTTAAAGGCCTGATAGTATTTTGAATAACAAATACCGACGGACAGTTTGAAGTAATCGACGAGATGGGACCGAGATAGCGAATATCTATTTAGGACCTATAATTTAATTTTTACTAACAAGCTACCTTAATAATACCTGGATTTCCGTCGGATTGTTATTCCGGGAGCAAATGTAAACGGAAAAGCAATGAAGGGCGGTCGCATAGATCGCTTTTCGCGTCTGTGATATTACTTGCGTATTAATCGTCGATTCAACAAGAAACTGTCAAATATATTAAATATTGTTTCATTTCAACCTGTCCTTTGTAGTATATTGATATTCGAAAAACAATCAAAGAATGATACAATCATAAAGTAGAAGTACAAAATATGAAGTTAGAATGTAATGAGATTAATCAAGTTTAACAATGATGACAACCTTTTTCCAATATATATGTGCATAATTCAGAATTTGACTAAATTATAAATTTATAAATTTCATAAAATTTATATAAATTTTATTATGCCTAGATTGCATGATCATTTATTGGTATAAACGCGAATTCATATGCAATTTAAGAATATAAACGATATAAAATTTTTCGAATTAAAAGAATTTTATAAAACAATAATCTATCAGCACATTACTCTATTAATTAATCTATTAGCTTTACTATTTATTAGTCAATTTCGATAACTCGACTATTGCTATCGAAATTAAAATAAATCCAAATTGTTGCTTATAAACAAAGAACAAAAATTTGATATTTGAAAATACTTTTCTAACTTTTTATAAATATATAAAAAAAATGTTTCGGCGCGCCACATGTGCAGTTGTTCATATAAAAAATATAACTCTATAAGCACTTACCTCTACTTCTCCAAGAGTTTGTGTCCATCTGTAATTCGGCATATCTGCACCATTACCGCTGTTAGGCTTTAGTTTATTTTTCTCCTTTTCATCTTCTTCCTCATCAGAAACGTTGCCACTATTCGAATCTGTATTTTTGTCATTTGTAGTGCTATCACTAGAATCGTTGCTAGATCCTGCCACAGCAGCATTTGCTAATTTCTGTACAAAAAAATATTTGAATATTATATAAATTATAATGCCTTTGATATCTTTAAAAAAACTGATACGCAATTACATAGCCACTAGTGTCAAAGAAGGTTTTCAATACATGTATTTTGGATACACACTATAAATCTTGAAGGAAGACACACATAAGGATACACATGCCCATGGCTCGGTTAGTACAAATATAACAGAATATCAATATTCTTTTCATTGTTACACAAGTTTTTAAAAGTTTAAAATCCTAGATGGACTCTCTCCCTTCTGTATTTTTCTTTACTATATATAATAATAACATATCGATGGTTCAACAATAGGCAATTATTTCAAATGTCTTTTGAATATTACGAAATGAAAGAAAATATTTAAAATATTAACAGATAAGAAATAGCTGATCCAAAAAGTTAATCAGTCGATATTCAGATACAAATAAATACATATATAATCTTAATGACACTACGATTACATTATTCACTGCAAGTATTGAAAATCTATATATGTGACTATAGGTTTTCTCTATGCAGTGAATAATAGGATATGTCTCAAATAATACGCGATAATTTTATTTGAAAGACCATCGATTATTTTCAAATATAATCAAAAAATCATAAAGCAAAATAAAAATTATAGTATTTCACTATATAAATACCTTGTTGTCTATTTCTTCTTGTAATTTAACAGCTTGTTCATCAGTTAATTCAACTATTTTAGAATCATGGTCTATTTTCTCTTCTTCCACTTGTTCTTCTTTTCTCTTCTTCTCCAATCTCTCCTTACGCCTTCTCTCTTGCTCTGCTCTTTCTGCTTTGTCGGAAGTAGCTTTAGCGAGAGCACCGGCTTCATATTTTTTGAATTTGCTCATCACAAGCTGCACATGAAAAGAGCAAATCCGGTCAATTTGGAACCGTTTTGAATGATAATAAAAAAAAATAATTTTGTGTTACCTTTCGCATACACAATTACCTTTTCAGCTGCTCCTTCGCCACCACCAGTATAAAAATCTGTTTTTCTCGCAAGAAAACTGAAGAAAGTATCCAGTAACTAAAAAAGAAAAACGAAATCTTCGTATCTTTTGGACAGACTTATGAAAATATAAATATTTCATCGCGCGAGATAACCTCAAACAAGAAAATTACTTACGTCCTGCACACCACCTTCATGTTGCTGTGCCAATGCCAGCAACATTCCATCAAATTGATCCTCCGTTTTCGACATTGTTCGTTAAAATTTACGCGTATCACAATTTATTTTGCGAAAAAAAAGGCTGCAATAATCGTCACGTTAAACAAGTACTCGCTATCGCTACAGGTAGCAACGATTATGCAGCTTTGTTAGTAGACTCCAACCACGTTTCCATGTGGAAATATCTCGAATTATCGACCGGATTGAAATATGAGGCCAGCTAAACAATACCGATAGCGTACTCTGACGGCAGAGCAATGGAACAACTTCGAATCGATTATCGACTATTAATAATAAACATTTTTTTTTTAGTAACAATTTTCTTGAGCATTTTTCTTGAAAAAAATATATAATTGCAAAAAACAATTCTTAAACATATCTCTTGAGTAAAAAAAGATACCTGAGAGAACTTAAAGAACTCTTGAATACATTTTAAAAAAAGATTGTAAGAGATACTTTTAATTAAAGATAACTGACAATTTTCGTACATATATAATGTTGATTGCTAAATGATTTAATATTACGATAAGTATTTAAATATAAATATATACGTAATTCCGTGTTTATTCTTTTAAGACTGTTTTAATTCGGAAAAATTTTATACTTTATATTCAATAGACACTTTTATCTTACTTTGTGATATATATTTGTCATAAATGTTATTGATTTTTTCATTTACGCTAATACCATAGATGATAATTATATAATCTAGACATAATAAAATTTGTATAAATTATAATTTCAGAACAGCGTAATTCAAGATGCGGCTGAATTATAAATTCAGTCGCATCTTGAATTACGCTGAAAAAATAAACCAAATTTTAATAATCGTTTGAACAATAACAACAAAATCCCTGATGAAAATAAAAATCAGAATGTAAGTCGTGAAGGGAATGTAAAGGAAAAGTAACAAAAGCATAAACGAAACTTCTATAATAGAAGATAAAAATCGAAACAATGAAACGTAAAAGAAACATAAATCTCTTTTACGTTTCGTTTATGTTTTTATTTCTTTCCTTTTACATTCGACTTATGTTCTGATTTTTATTTTTGCCAGGAATATTTACTAAATATAAACAAATTTTCCTTCCTTCCTTCCACTTCCCTTCATTTCAAAAGAAGTTTGTACGGAAAGTCTCAAACATTCTGTATATTAAAAATTATTGTCATCATTGTTAAACTTATATTTATTTAATTACTTAATAATCTCGTTATATTATATTTCATATTTTTGAATCGACTTCTAATTTAATTAATAGCATGTTTCATAATGTAGTTAGACTAATGTAATTGTAAATTAAACTATATTATTAATTAAACTATTATTACTATACTATTATTACTTATATTACTCTTACTCTTCGATTTAAAAAAAAATTTTACTACACTAGGCGTCTATTTTAGAAATTACATATTTCTATTCGTAAATTATTATATTCCTATTTTCTTTCCTCTTATTGCAGCCGATAATCGGTAACTTTTAATACACACATTCAGTCATTCGTGTCCTGGCTTAATTTTTATTATTATACTTTTACAAGTATATATAAATTATTAAACAATTTTTACATAATATTTTGACACCTGTAGAAAACATTTGTGCAGTTATATATTCGTAACAAATTGTAGATAAATTGTTGTAATTAAATATAGTTAATGAAATGAGAAAAATGCACTGTTGAAATATAAAAATGTAAAACTTTGAAACAAAAATGTTTAAAGGAAAAATATAATATAATATATTATAATATCTTAAAATTGACATTCTAAAGTACAAGAAAAAAAATAGTTCAAGTGTCGGCTGTCCAAAAAAAGTTTAATTATTAAATAATCTGAAAATAATGCTTTTTTTAATATGCATAAACTTAATATGCTATAAATTAAAGATATATTGCATTTACATTTTAAACAATACATTTTATTATTGCTATTGTGTTTAAAAAAATTTATATTAAAAAAACTTTATTAGGAAAATGTTCTTTATAATATTACAGACAACATTTAAAATAAAAATCGCGTATATTAAAGGCTAATATGTTGTTTTGTAGGGTTAAATTCTTTTTTTTAATAATTCGAGAAATATTTCCACACTACAACTGAGAATTAGTTGAAAATAAAGAAAAAAAAAAAATTTTATTTAGTTACAAAAAATGTATATTCTGTGCACATGTTAGATCATTCGTGACCTAGAGGTGAACTTTGGAATTAGCCAGTTAAAGGATATGCAAAATTGAGGCCGATAACGTACAAAACTTGTTCTTTAAATGCCAAATTTTTTTTAAGAATAGAAAAGACCGGTATTTAACCAGGTGCTCTTAGTATTTTAAACAAAAAAAATGGGCAGGACATGAATAACCCAGAGGTGTGTATTAAAGTTAATTAAATCTTTATAAGTGTCGTTTAAGAAAAGATGTATTCTCAAGATATATTTCTGAATAAACAAAATATCTACTCCTAAATATTTTCAGGCATATATATATTTTTCATTTCCACAGCCTATGACTTGTTACGAAATTTTTTATGCCGATTATTTCGCCGAAATCAGATAAAGGGCGATCTAACGCACAGGTTGTTTCAATTTAAATTGTTAGCATCGCCTAAGCGTTCAAGAAAGAGAGTTTGAGAAAACGATGATG